GTTTGTGAATACTGTTAGAAACGACAAACCACGAACGCACTGTTCACTCATACTGAACATGAAAACGTCCGCAACCATTCTGAACGCTTTTTCTTGGGAGAATCGAGACTAGAGACCAACACAGTGCTGCTCGTCACTGTTTGCGCAATGTTTTTCGCCAGAGGTGCTTTGTCGAAATTTTATTCGCTGGAAAAATTTGGCACAATTTTCATGGTCAGGAAAGTTGGTTTTTTACCATCCTAGACTTTGACTTTAAAGATTATCATCATGAAAATAGTTTGGCGCAGATATGAGTCCGCGAACAATTTTGCAGCAATTACGAAGCTCGCAACAATTTTTTCCAAATTTGGCGCACTCTGTGGTGCGCTCCAGTGCGATCTAGAGCGCACTCGCAAGATCCTGCGCTTCGCTCGCACTGGTGCGCACCAGTGCGCTCGCTGGTTCATCACCGCCTTGCCACCTAGGATAACTGACATCATATTGGCAGCAAGTGACGATGGATCGCCTTGGATCGCAATACATTTTACCATGCATGGTAATATTATTCGTTTTGTTCCTTATTGTTCCGCTGTAGCTTGATTTTCGTAATGTATCTTCTGTTTTGTGAGTGTTTGAATTTGTTTTTTCATTTTCGTCAAATGCCCAGCTGCTGGGAGTTATTGTTTCGATTCTGTTAAATTTGATTGCGGGTGTCGCCGCTGTCGCCTTGTGGCGAGGTAATGTGGCCACCTGGCGATTGTTGTTTTTTTCGCCCAGTGTCCAGGCTCGTCACGTGCAACATCCCGACGTGGCGATGACACCTGTCGAGCCACACTAGCCACAGGATGCTGATTTTTGTTTTCGTGAATAGAAGGCAATATCCCCGAGCTCGCCACTGGATGCACTACAAGTTACACACTCAAAACTCGAGTTACAACTGTTCCAAGCTTAAGAAGATGGGCTTTTTTCACGCGGCTCGGGCTGGTTCCCCTGAAATTTCAAACCACGGGCAAACGGGACACTAGCCCAGAAATTGCACAGTAACTCTCGGGCAAAATTTTGAACGTGGGTACACAAGCAGGCGAGAATTGGGGGCGTCTGAACGTTCGGGGATACGAGCAGGCGAGAAATGAAATTGGGACCCTAGAGGTGACAAAATTAGGCGAGTACAGAGGGTATGCCATTAGGTCCATGACATTGTACTCTATATAATACTCCAAGGTCCGGAATTTGATAAGATCCACCACGATGTACTCCGTCTGTACGGTATACATGTACTGTTGACTTCGCTAAAAAAGCGCAATAAAAATATTGACCTGTCACCGCAGTCGCATAGTGTCACCGACCAGCGAACCGCGCCTCCCGAATTGGGTGCGATTTCATCGTGCAAGCGTCGCCAACCAACCCGCATGTGCGCTCTCGTGAAATCCCCGGGAATTGCGTCCGGAATTGCCCAGCCAATACGCGCGCGCCATGGTGATGCTACGTAATCGCGACGGACCTGGGGAGCGTACACAGAATCACAGACAACCCGCTAATACCCCCGTCCAGCTGGCAATTTTTCATGCGCGCTGGCATGAGCATGCCTACGTACCCCCTCGGTTGAGGAGGCCGACAGAGGTCGTATTTACACTCCGCCACATCAGCGCCTAAACAGCCACCAAACTACAGTGACGGAAAACACTGTCCGGATGTTTGGCATTAATTAGGTTTTTTAGGCTTTTCGACCACGGTACATAAAGTCTTAATGTTTAATGGTGGTACGCTTTTGGAGGGGCACATAGTGGATGTGTTCACAGCACTTACGTCCATAGTAGTACACTGCATCTAACTTAGTGCCAAAAGTTATACAAGGGGGTCATCCGGACAGTTTTTTCCCGGGACAAAGCGTAAACTTCCGAACAGGTTTCTAGTACCTAGTACACCGACCCTTGGCCTTGATCACCACCCGCACCCTCCTAGGCATGTTATCTACGAGGTTAGTGCAAACCGTTGCAGAGATCTTCTCACACTCTTCCTGGATTCTCCCTTTTGCATAAGGGGGTGAGCACTGGGAAAACCGCGAGGGATTTGAGTGTCTGCAAGTTTTTTGTGCACGATTTCTGTTTGAATGTTATATATAAGACTAGCCACACTGAGGTATAACCAAAGATGCCATTAGCCGAAACCTGTTCGGAAGTTTACGCTTTGTCCCGGGAAAAAACTGTCCGGATGATCCCCTTGTATAACTTTTGGCACTAAGTTAGATGCAGTGTACTACTATGGACGTAAGTGCTGTGAACACATCCACTATGTGCCCCTCCAAAAGCGTACCACCATTAAACATTAAGACTTTATGTACCGTGGTCGAAAAGCCTAAAAAACCTAATTAATGCCAAACATCCGGACAGTTCTTTCCGTCACTGTATGTTACCTGGCTCAATCCACTGGTCACAATGAGGTTACTCAGGAGAACATCGCTGACGATTGCGATGAAGGTCGGAATCTGCCGACATGCTGAAGCACATTCACACCTTCGACTCGCTGACATCGCTCGGTGGTGTTTCACGAGATACGGTATTTATCCCGACCCCAGCACCGTGGGGAAAATCCTCAAGGAGGCGGACAAGTGGAAGGCACTTGGGCCAGAGAGCTCCGCCACTCGACGTCTGCGTCCGCTGCTCAAGCATCCCCTGCTTGAGCAGCGGCTGAAGTCATGGTTGGGCTGGGCGGCAAAGGGTGGGCTGCCAATCACCATCAGCATCATCCAGCAATGAGCCAAGATTATGGCTCCTGATGCCGGAGTGCCGGTTGGATTTAAAGCGACCGTCGGATGGGTGCAGAAAGCATTGAAGCGGATGGGATACAAGTGGCGGACCAGGCAAGGCGAAGCTAAGGACCAGGACTTCGGCGCAGTGATGACGACGAAGGCCACATGCCCCCAGTTGCTCACTCTGCTCGCCGTAGCGCCTCGCGACTGCTTCAACTACGACGAGACAGGATGCGCTTGGAAACAAATTCCGAAAATGACATTTGCAGATGGCCCTGTGAGTGGCGGCAAAAACCGGAAGGACCGCTTAACTGTCGCGCTGATGTGCAATGCCGACGGCTAGCAGATGTACAAGCCGCTTGTTGTGAGCAAAACCGCCAATCCGCGCTGCTTCGCACAGAAGAAATTCAGTCCTGCGACGAAGTGCTTTTGGCGCAGCAACGGTTCTGGCTGGATGACAAGCCAGGTAAGCGTCCTTTCTAACGTAATGCGTGTTATTTGCGACTGTGTCATTGTTGCTGTTGCTTGTGTTGCCCGCTTTTTTCCATACGTTGTAACTACGAATTCAAACATTTCACTACTTTCCCGCCCCAGTTATTCACGGAATACATCGAGCACATTAACGCGTGCTGTTTCGCCGAGGCCCGCAGCATCGTCATCCTGCTGGACAACGCTAGCTGCCACAACCTCCTGTCTCCGTTCGCCACATCGGCTGACATCCTCGGCTTCCGAACACGCTCGCTGAGCAACGTGCGTCTTGTGTTTCTCCCGCCAAACACTACCTGCTTCACGCAACCGCTGGACCAGGGGCTCATCGCGACACTGAAGGCTCGGTACAGGACGTACCATACACTCGACATGTTCCGCGAATGGGACGAATTTTAGAGCGAGGGAATGTTGCTGCAATACAAGCCCGACATGGTGCATGTCATAACATGGCTGTCGGACGCGTGGTTCTCGATCGAGCCCGAGACCGTCCAGAAGTGTTGGTGGCGGACGGGTATCCTCCCTGCTAGCTGGCTCGCGAGACTCCCCCTGGTCGGCACCACCGTCGCTGAGCAGGACCATAATTTGCCTGCAGAGTTCACTGCAGTCGCTGCGAATTTGGAACGGCTGCCATGGGCCGACGAGGACCTCATGGATGCGGTCCAGTTCGTCACATGCGACAGCGACGATGACATATGCGATCCTTGTGGCGAGGACCCCCTCGCTTTGGAACCTCTGGGAATTCCCGAAAGCGGCGCATGGTATCTCCGTGCACCGGGTATTGCGCAGCCAGTTCGAGATTCGCGTAATCGCCGGCACCTTAGCTGCATGGCTACCGAGATGCTGGTCGATTATGCGCGGTCCATCGGGCTCATCCCGAGGGACCTCCGCATTCTCTTCGACATTCGGGACCCGTCTGTGATTGAGCGTCTTGAACGCGCATCCCCGCGCCTGGACCTGAACTCTGCTCCTGGGGTTGTTTCGGAAGAGTACAGGCAGCATGTGCTCCAGGCGACGGCCGTCATGGACGGCTGGGTGGACTCGGCTGAGTGGATGTGCTGAGAGAGCAGTGGATTCCTTTCCGACGCGTGTGTTTTTCAGTTGCGCTTGTTTTTGGGAGTGTGTTTACTTTTGCTGCTCCGGGCGTGTTTGATTGCCCTTCTATTAGTTTAGTTGTGCGCTTGACAGTTTTGTTGTTGCTCAGTTGTGTTGCCGCGTCACTCCTTGTGTGAATGATGATGTGTCGTTTCTTGCTTTTGTGCGTGGGTTTGAGTGTTTCAGTGTTGTTGGACACTTTGTTGTGTGTGTTCGAATCGTTTTAATGCAACGGGGTTTGAAATCCGATGTGTCTCTACGTAACTCAAATTGTCGCAGCATCGTACAGGGCACCCTTCTATGAACAGAACATAACAGACAAGTCACTCCGACCCCCATGTTCACTCGTTAGTCCATTTTGCCCCTACCGTACGGGACCTATTCGACTTAGTCGATATCTGCGAGTCGCAGATTTGGAGCATAGAGCATACCCCCTGTATTGCAATTTGGACTGTTCATCTGAAGACCATATTGCAGAACAGGTGTAACAAGACCGAGAAGTTGTTTTAAATAACACCATCACGCGAATTTCACTGCGACGGGGCACTTTCTGACACGAGAGAAAACTTCTTCAGAGGTGCAAAAAAATGTGTCTGTTCCAACGCGTTCAGCTTGGTACACATGTTCTCCTTTTGTATTATTTGAAACAAGTCACGCGGCGCGGGACTGCATCTCAAAACTTTCATAACGTGGGTAAAATCGACATTAGCGGGGAAATCGGCACGTGGCGGTAATGATTGAGGGGTAACATACCTTAACTCTAGCAGAACCACCAATGCTACTGGCACGTCGCCGAGGGAACCCACATGGGCTGAGCGACATTCGCCAAATGACACAACTTGACGTTGTTTAGGTGAGTATTATCGGGCACACAGTCAGCGAAAGAAAACGAAAGGGTGATTTGCTGCCAGATGGGCGACACTGGGCGGCTTATCTATACGGACAAGATTTGTTCTCAGAAATAGGGGGGATGAGAGCAAGAGGGGAGAGATGAAAGAAACAGAGGAGAGGTTATACAAGCAGGGGAGACATGAGTGAAACAGGGGGGGGATGAGAGAAAGAGGGGAGAGATGAAAGAAACAGAGGAAAGGTTATACAAGCAGGGGAGACATGAGTGAAACAGGGGGGAGACGAGAGAAAGAGGGGAGAGATGAAAGAAACAGAGGAGAGGTTATACAAACAGGGGAGACTTGAGTGAAACAGGGGGGATATTAGAGAAAGAGGGGAGAGATGAAAGAAACAGAGGAAAGGTTATACAAGCAGGGGAGACATGAGTGAAACAGGGGGGAGATGAGAGAAAGAGGGGAGAGATGAAAGAAACAGAGGAGAAGTTATACAAACAGGGGAGACATGAGTGAAACAGGGGGGATATGAGAGAAAGAGGGGAGAGATGAAAGAAACAGAGGAAAGGTTATACAAGCAGGGGAGACATGAGTGAAACAGGGGGGAGATAAGAGAAAGAGGGGAGAGATGAAAGAAACAGAGGAGAGGTTATACAAACAGGGGAGACATGAGTGAAACAGGGGGGAGATTAAAGAAACAGGGGAGAGAGGAATGAACCAGAGGAGAGGATAAGAGGATCAGGGGAGAGATAAGTGAAACAGGGGGGAGCTGAGAGAAATAGGGGAGAGATGCAAGAAACAGAGGAGAGGTTATACAAGCAGGGGACACATGAGTGAAACAGGGGGGAGATGAGAGAAAGAGGGGAGAGATGAAAGAAACAGAGGAGACGTTATACAAAAAGGGGAGTCATGAGTGAAACAGGGGGGAGATAAGAGAAAGAGGGGAGAGATGAAAGAAACAGAGGAGAGGTTATACACATAGGGGAGAGATGAGTGAAACAGCGGGGAGATTAGAGAAACAGGGGAGAGAGGAATGAACCAGAGGAGAGGATAAGAGAAACAGGGGAGAGATGAGTGAAAAAGGGGGGAGCTGAGAGAAAGGGGGGAGAGATGAAAGAAACAGAGGAGAGGTTATACAAGCAGGGGACACATGAGTGAAACAGGGGGGAGATGAGAGAAAGAGGGGAGAGATGAAAGAAACAGAGGAAAGGTTATACAAGCAGGGGAGACATGAGTGAAACAGGGGGGAGATAAGAGAAAGAGGGGAGAGATGAAAGAAACAGAGGAGAGGTTATACAAACAGGGGAGACATGAGTGAAACAGGGGGGATATTAGAGAAAGAGGGGAGAGATGAAAGAAACAGAGGAAAGGTTATACAAGCAGGGGAGACATGAGTGAAACAGGGGGGAGATGAGAGAAAGAGGGGAGAGATGAAAGAAACAGAGGAGAAGTTATACAAACAGGGGAGACATGAGTGAAACAGGGGGGAGATGAGAGAAAGAGGGGAGAGATGAAAGAAACAGAGGAGAAGTTATACAAACAGGGGAGACATGAGTGAAACAGGGGGGAGATTAGAGAAACAGGGGAGAGAGGAATGAACCAGAGGAGATGATAAGAGAAACAGGGGAGAGCTGAGTGAAACAGGGGGGGGCTGAGAGAAAGAGGGGAGAGATGAAAGAAACAGAGGAGAGGTTATACAAACAGGGGAGACATGATTGAAACAGGGGGGAGATTAAAGAAACAGGGGAGAGAGGAATGAACCAGAGGAGAGGATAAGAGGATCAGGGGAGAGATAAGTGAAACAGGGGGGAGCTGAGAGAAATAGGGGAGAGATGCAAGAAACAGAGGAGAGGTTATACAAGCAGGGGACACATGAGTGAAACAGGGGGGAGATGAGAGAAAGAGGGGAGAGATGAAAGAAACAGAGGAAAGGTTATACAAGCAGGGGAGACATGAGTGAAACAGGGGGGAGATGAGAGAAAGAGGGGAGAGATGAAAGAAACAGAGGAGAGGTTATACAAACAGGGGAGACATGATTGAAACAGGGGGGAGATTAAAGAAACAGGGGAGAGAGGAATGAACCAGAGGAGAGGATAAGAGGATCAGGGGAGAGATAAGTGAAACAGGGGGGAGCTGAGAGAAATAGGGGAGAGATGCAAGAAACAGAGGAGAGGTTATACAAGCAGGGGACACATGAGTGAAACAGGGGGGAGATGAGAGAAAGAGGGGAGAGATGAAAGAAACAGAGGAGACGTTATACAAAAAGGGGAGTCATGAGTGAAACAGGGGGGAGATAAGAGAAAGAGGGGAGAGATGAAAGAAACAGAGGAGAGGTTATACACATAGGGGAGAGATGAGTGAAACAGCGGGGAGATTAGAGAAACAGGGGAGAGAGGAATGAACCAGAGGAGAGGATAAGAGAAACAGGGGAGAGATGAGTGAAAAAGGGGGGAGCTGAGAGAAAGGGGGGAGAGATGAAAGAAACAGAGGAGAGGTTATACAAGCAGGGGACACATGAGTGAAACAGGGGGGAGATGAGAGAAAGAGGGGAGAGATGAAAGAAACAGAGGAAAGGTTATACAAGCAGGGGAGACATGAGTGAAACAGGGGGGAGATAAGAGAAAGAGGGGAGAGATGAAAGAAACAGAGGAGAGGTTATACAAACAGGGGAGACATGAGTGAAACAGGGGGGATATTAGAGAAAGAGGGGAGAGATGAAAGAAACAGAGGAAAGGTTATACAAGCAGGGGAGACATGAGTGAAACAGGGGGGAGATGAGAGAAAGAGGGGAGAGATGAAAGAAACAGAGGAGAAGTTATACAAACAGGGGAGACATGAGTGAAACAGGGGGGAGATGAGAGAAAGAGGGGAGAGATGAAAGAAACAGAGGAGAAGTTATACAAACAGGGGAGACATGAGTGAAACAGGGGGGAGATGAGAGAAAGAGGGGAGAGATGAAAGAAACAGAGGAGAAGTTATACAAACAGGGGAGACATGAGTGAAACAGGGGGGAGATTAGAGAAACAGGGGAGAGAGGAATGAACCAGAGGAGATGATAAGAGAAACAGGGGAGAGCTGAGTGAAACAGGGGGGGGCTGAGAGAAAGAGGGGAGAGATGAAAGAAACAGAGGAGAGGTTATACAAACAGGGGAGACATGATTGAAACAGGGGGGAGATTAAAGAAACAGGGGAGAGAGGAATGAACCAGAGGAGAGGATAAGAGGATCAGGGGAGAGATAAGTGAAACAGGGGGGAGCTGAGAGAAATAGGGGAGAGATGCAAGAAACAGAGGAGAGGTTATACAAGCAGGGGACACATGAGTGAAACAGGGGGGAGATGAGAGAAAGAGGGGAGAGATGAAAGAAACAGAGGAGACGTTATACAAAAAGGGGAGTCATGAGTGAAACAGGGGGGAGATTAGAGAAAGAGGGGAGAGATGAAAGAAACAGAGGAGAGGTTTTACAAACAGGGGAGACATGAGTGAAACAGGGGGGAGATGAGAGAAAGAGGGGAGAGATGAAAGAAACAGAGGAGAGGTTATACAAGCAGGGGAGACATGAGTGAAACAGGGGGGAGATGAGAGAAAGACGGGAGAGATGAAAGAAACAGAGGAGAGGTTATACAAACAGGGGAGACATGATTGACACAGGGGGGAGATTAAAGAAACAGGGGAGAGAGGAATGAACCAGAGGAGAGGATAAGAGGATCAGGGGAGAGATAAGTGAAACAGGGGGGAGCTGAGAGAAATAGGGGAGAGATGCAAGAAACAGAGGAGAGGTTATACAAGCAGGGGACACATGAGTGAAACAGGGGGGAGATGAGAGAAAGAGGGGAGAGATGAAAGAAACAGAGGAGACGTTATACAAAAAGGGGAGTCATGAGTGAAACAGGGGGGAGATTAGAGAAAGAGGGGAGAGATGAAAGAAACAGAGGAGAGGTTTTACAAACAGGGGAGACATGAGTGAAACAGGGGGGAGATGAGAGAAAGAGGGGAGAGATGAAAGAAACAGAGGAGAGGTTATACAAGCAGGGGAGACATGAGTGAAACAGGGGGGAGATGAGAGAAAGACGGGAGAGATGAAAGAAACAGAGGAGAGGTTATACAAACAGGGGAGACATGAGTGAAACAGGGGGGAGATAATTGAAAGAGGGGAGAGATGAAAGAAACAGAGGAGAGGTTATACAAGCAGGGGAGACATGAGTGAAGCAGGGGGGAGATGAGAGAAAGAGGGGAGAGATGAAAGAAACAGAGGAGAGGTTATACAAGCAGGGGAGACATGAGTGAAACAGGGGGGAGATGAGAGAACGATGGGAGAGATGAAAGAAACAGAGGAGAGGATATACAAACAGGGGAGACATGAGTGAAACACGGGGGAGCTGAGAGAAAGAGGGGAGAGATGAAAGAAACAGAGGAGAGGTTATACAAACAGGGGAGACATGAGTGAAACAGGGGGGAGATAATTGAAAGAGGGGAGAGATGAAAGAAACAGAGGAGAGGTTGTAGAAGCAGGGGAGAGATGAGTGAAACAGGGGGGAGATAAGAGAAAGAGGGGAGAGAAGAGAGAGAGAAGAGGGGAGATAAGAGGGGAGAGGGGAGAGGGTGAGCTGGCGATCTCAGAAGCCGAGGAGGTCGGAGTCGTCAGCGTGGCCATCCAAATCCCCCGCCACGCGGAGCATGTGGATGCGTGCGGCGATGGCATCAGGGTCGTCGAGGGCGGGGGCGGGTGTAGGGGGCAGGACGGGCGTGGGGAGGTTGAGGTTCAGAGCATTCCCCGACGCCCGCGCCAACCTGTCGACAACCACGGGGTTGCGGATGTTGAACAGGTGGCGCAGATTTTTCGGGCTAGTGCCCGTCGCCCGGGCATAGCCGACGAGCATCTCCGACGCACGCCGAGCTACGGCGCGGAGAGCCCGGGCGTGGACCCCCGCATTGAAGTCGAACAGAGGCTCGCACACGACTGCGGGGTGGGGGACGCAAGGGGGCTCGACGGCGAGCGGGTCGGAGTCCTCGAAGTCACACGTCGGGTGGTTCTCGTCGACCGCGAGGAACTCTGCCGCCGCCATCGCCGACGGTCCGAGCTGGAGGCGGGGAATCACAGCTGCGAGCGCCTCCAGCTCAGGCTCCATGTCACCTGGGTCACGCGCTGGGGACTCGGTCTCCACCTCCGCCGGCATCCAAGAAGCAGGGAGGATGCGGGCATGCCACCAGCACCGCTCGACAGTGCGCTTCTCGATGCTGAACCAGGCGTTGGAATCCACATGGCGACCTGGCGCATCGAAGTCTTCATGCGCTGAAGCTCCGCCGGGCAGCCGCGCGCCTCCCACATCTGGGTGAGTTCCGCCAGACACTTCACTCGATACCGCGCCTTCGCAGTTGCAATAAGGCCCTGGTCGAGTGGTTGGATGAATGAGGTGGTGTTGGGCGGGATATACAGCACCCGCAAGTTACTGAGTTTGCGGGTGTGGAAACTGAAGAGGTCCTCGGTAAGCGCGCCCGGTGAGTTGACACGATGGCTAGAGGCGTTATCGACGAGTAGAACGATCGAACGCCCCTCTGAGCCTTTTTTGTTGTAACGCCAGTTGACCCAGGGCTTGGGGTCGAAGTTGCCGTGGCTGAAATCGCGGGGTCAGCGAACCTTGCTGATTAACATGGGGTTTAGCATTGACGAGCCGCCAGTGTTACAGGTGAAGACTATTGTAACACGTTCTTTGGCGACTGTGCGGCCGGCCAGCGCTTCGTTGGTCCACCTGCGGCGTGGCTGGAATGAAGTGAACAGAGCAGTTTCGTCGAGGTTGTACAGGTCCTTAAGATGAATGCCCAGGGACAGTAGCAGAATGGGAAGCTTCAAGCGTGCCCAATTTACAGCTGCCATGTCAGCGTCTGCAACTTCACCCTTACGCGTCAGAGACTTGAAGCCCATTCGATCCACTGCCTTGTGGCACCAGTTCAGGGAACAATTAAACGACGTTGGTATCCCCAAAATACGTGCCAAGAACTTAGCTTTGATTTGGATAAGTGCAAGTGTCAGAGGAATGCCAGCAGTTCCGGTGCCCTTGATCGAAGTCTTTAGCTCGTTTTCGAGGGTGGGGTGGTGACCCGAGCGCACGCGAATGCGGTCTCCCTTTGATGCCCCCGCCCATTTCGCCTCGTGCTTGATGATTTTTCCGAACGTGCGGAAAAATTGACAACGTGTCAATTGACAACGTGCTTCGGTCCGGCAGAAGGCCGTACCTCGTGAAGCACCATCGGACGAGGTCGTCGAGCCGGAGGTGCGGGTTCGCAGCCGCATGCTTGCAGATCTCGCGCTTGGTAACAATCAGGATCTGAGCCCTGCCGTGGATGCGAGGCATTTCGGAAAGTGGAAACAGGGCCAAATTCGCTTACTGGAGTAGGAATGAATGACCAACACCATAGACGTGTCATCTAAATACGAACTACCGAGTCACCGGAAGCCAGCTTGGCTTGGTGCGCCACGCATCGGAGGTTCGTGGACTTGGGCGCAATTGTTTCAAGGGCCTGCCAAATCAGCAACCAGAGGTGTGTTTCCTGCCTTGATTCGCCGCTCAACAGCATGAATGGACAACACTCGGTTTTCAGAAATCTGGCGTGGGGTTCTTTGTGCCGAATGGCTGGCGAGTGTTCACAACAAAATTCGTTTGAGCTTCGCCAAACCACCAAGCCGAGTCGCGCGCAATCACGCCGACCATGCTCATTGGCTACTTCTCAGAGTCTTCCCAGTGGCTGGATAACATCACTGTACACTTATCTGTGGACACTATATAGGGGGACATAGGCAGGGCCAAACTAAAATTTGGTCAGTAGTAGTTTTGTCGACAGAAACGGGTAGGATCATATTGGGGACAAGGTATACAAAACTGCAGGAATGCGGCTGTTTGAGCCTTTCTTCCAATCCAGTTCTGTTCTTCCTCCTCTGTATGCTAGTCTCACATTTTGCTCTTCTCTTCCAGCAAGTAGCAAGTATAGATTCCTTGATTAGGCTGCTGCACGCCATCAGCCGCTGCTGGTTGTTTTGATCTCAGTTTTACGACATATTACTCTAGCTCGGTAAGTTTAGTAGCCTTATTTCCTTTCTGAGCTATCTTATCATCCACTTTTCCTAGGATTTCTTCTCTCTTGGTTTTCATAAGCTAGTAGATGAAAAGCTAGAGATCACTTTCAGCTTTGATACATGGCATGCAGTCTACCCCTTCCCCTCACTTCCCTCTTCACTCCAGTCCTTTTCCTTCTTTTCATTGAGTTCTTCTCTACCTCCCTATTTCCATCCTAAGTTCGATGTCTCGTGTCTCTTTCCAACCAATCTATTTCCCTATCTTCCAATGTTATGGTTGCAATCTATTTCTAATTCCATTTCTTCCTCTCTCTTTTTTTTTCTTTTTTTTTTTTAATCGATTCTGCACGTCTTAACACTGATCTTAATCTTACTAGAGGATGTTGAATGTCTTCCATAGAATTTAAGTTGTGTTTTTCCTTGGTTGTTTAATTGATGGTCTTTGCTCCCTTATTGTAGTCACTCCAGTATGAGCAATGCATTTTGTGCTTCTCAAAAACTGGGTTGTTCTCATCATTTCGCATACGGTTCTTGACACGCTCCGTCAGTGCAGTCATTTGAATTGGAAGTGATGAGTGCAATTTTTATTTTGAAATTCACAATTTGTGTTGTCGAGTCACTACTACTCCATTGACTTCCCCGACGCGGCTGCGACGGTCTCAGCAGTAGGGGTTGTCTCAGCGACAGCAGCAGAGATGTCAGAGTAAGTGCACTGGGAGGGAGCACAGCCCTGGAAGATAGGGACCGCCGCAGACAGGCGCAGTAGCCGCATTACCGCTAGACTGAGTGATACTGCGCTGGCTGGTCTCTATCACAGACAGGGCGGTAACAAAGGCGGCAAGGGTGAGGTCACCTGGGTGCTGACTAAGGAAGTGGTCGCGGGCAGTGGCGAGGCAGTCAGGAAGGCGCGTGGCAATGAGGTTAAGGGTAGCGCAAAGCGGCGGCGGGAAGGTAGTGAGCTGGGCCTCAGTGCTAGCGGTGCGGTAGCTAGTGTCAAGTGCACGGAGGTGAGTTGCAAGGTCAGCGACAGTGGGGAAGGACGCAAGATCAGGGAGCAGCATGGGGAGGATCAGGCAGCCAACAGAGGCTGAGAAGGGCGTGGAATAGCGCGCAACGACTACATTTAAGAATTCCTTGGCGTTTGCTACAGTGTAAAGCGGGGATGCTCAGACAGGGGGAGGGCGTGACTAATAGCAAGCTGCACTACGGCATCGCGCGACTCCTACACAGCGCGAGCAAGCACAGCAGCGGAAAAGGCCTCACGCTCAGCAGTGGTGGGGGCATCAGGGAGGGCAGCAGGCGCGGCGGGGCGGGGAAGCATACCATCGACATGAACAGCCAGGGAGTAACCGTCCTGGCGCTGACCTGTCAGGTGACGGTGAAGGTCGATGAGCTACGCCACAAAGTCGATCGCCCGACCCTCCACGTCTAGGCGGAGAACAGCGTCCGCCATCCCACGACCTCAGTTGCTGACGGCGGCACGGCGACACGGCGACACAGTGCCACGGCAACACGGCGGCACGGTGCCACGGCGACACAGTGGCACTTCGGCACGGCGGCACTAAGGCACGACGACACGGCGGTACTGCGGCACGGCGGCACCTCGGCACGACGACACGGCGGGACCGGGGTCGGCGCGAACTGGGGCCGGGGAGCGAGGGGCGGGCAAGCTAAGGGGCCGGCGATCAAGGGGCCAGGGAGCCAGGGGCCGGCTAGTGTGGGGCCAGCGAGTGCGGGGCCAGCGAGCACGGGGCCGACGAACTAGGGGCCGGCGAGCGCGGGGCCAGCGAGCGCGGGGCCAGCGAGCGCGGGGCCGGCGAGCTAGGGGTCGGCGAGTGCGGGGTCGACGAGCGTGGGGCTGGCGAGCGTGGGGTCGGCGAGCACAGGGCTGGTGGGCACGGGGGCGACGAGCGCGGGGCCAGCGGGCGCGACGCGGCGCGGCACGGCGCTACTAAGGCTAGGACTAGGGGTAGGGGCGGAAGCGTAAGCAGGGAGGGGGGACCTAACCTAGCGTGATACCATCTCAGAGTTACGAATTGAACTAGGAAGGGTGGTACAGGGTAGTTTTGTGCTAGGTGTTGTACTCGCTATAGCATGCACTTATCTAGCCCATAACTGAAAGAGTGAACCACTTGTTTAGGGTGGCCAGGATCTGGAGTAGGTGGAACCACGAGTAAAAGTCAGCGGAAGACTTTACACCTTGTATTGGAAATGTCCGATATGACAAGGATGATAATAATGGATAATACAGATATATTTATAGTCTAGCAAGTACCTGTTCGGATGTACCTGTTCGTCGTGTAACGCGACTATTCGCGTGACGTGACTTAGTGACTGTTCGTGTGACTGAGAGTGGCGTGACCCTTCGAGTGACTATACGAGCGAACCTACTGTTCACGCATTGACTCGCTACTGTTGGCATCATCACGCGCGTCCTTCCATATGAGGTATCGCGCTACAAGTACAGTCTGAGTGTTATATCAGATTTGGATGAAGACTGGATTTGTTTCTCCATGCGCGCCAGAAGACTGTTGCACGAGCCGGTGTACAGTAAGTCGTCCACGTAGGCGACTAGGAGAATGTAATTCCCCCGAAATTCGAGTCTGTATATTCCAAGATCGTGGGGCAGCTGCACGAAGTCGAGTGAAATCAGTACTTTATGAAGATGCTGCTGCCACAGGCGAGGAGCCTGTTTGATGCCGTTGAGTGACTTAAGTAATTTGCAGATGTATAGTCCATCGCCGTAAGTGTGAGGGAGTTCGACATAAATATATGCATTGACGTCTGCATATAAAAACACATTTTTAACGTCCAGTTGGCGAAGTGGAAGGTGGCGGCTGGCAGCGATGGCGAGAAGAATTCGAACTGAGGTATGACGGTTGACCGGAGTGAAACTCTGGTCGTAATCGATGCCGTGGGTTTGTTCGAAACCTCGAACGACCCATCTCCCCTTGAATCTATCTGGTTTGCCTTCTGCATTTGTCTTTATGCGAAAGACCCACTTGCCCGAAAGAGTTTTCTTGCCGCGTACTACTTCGCGTGGAACGAGTTTCCACGTTTTCCGCTTCTCAAGAGCTGCTACCTCTGCATCCATAGCTGCTTGCCATTTGTCAGCATCAGAGCCGGAGAGGACCTGCTTGACTGTTTTTCGGTTCGATCCCGGTTGTTGGTAGCTGAACTATGACAGCAAGACCGAGAATCGGAAGAGCCGATTGGTCACCACGAGGATGAGGTTGGCAGACTTCGACGACATCATCGTCGTCAATTTCGGATGGCAGATGGCGGGCACCGTCATGTGATGCTGCGTCAGTTTTCTGTCGGCACAGATGCTCCTCATAATTCTAGGCAGCCTGTGTCGTGGCAGGACGCAACGGGTTCGAGAGGGGAATGAAGAGTGGTGTTTCAGTGTTATTGGCATGCGTCGAAGGGATATATGAGTCGAATATGTTGTGTGATGTCATCATATGCTATCACATTCTGTCTGCCTCCCATCCCATGTTTTCAACTTGCATGTGTGGTTTGAATGTGTGCAAGCATTTATGCATGGTGTGTTATGGAGTTTGGGAATGTGTTTTGCGTTATTCTGTCTGAGCAGGTATTTGTGATGATAGATCTTGAGAAGATCTTTCCGACGCAACAAGAATCGCTTCAATCGGAGCAAGAACGAGAAAGCTATGAAGATTCAAAGTTCATGAGCTTGCGTTACAATTGCGGCAGTTACAAAGTGAAGTTGTGGGGTGACTTTATATGGAGTTGGGACCTTTGGGGTTTGGGAAATTTGTCACTCTACTGTAACGGCTGCAAATTGGTTGGGAACAACCAAGCTAGGTTGGCAAGGGTGACCAACTTGGATGGATTGGTTGGGAAGGGACAAATGTCAAAGTTGGGGTTCCTATAGGGAGGGAATCTTTGTGCTTATGGGTTTTCCTTGGTTGGGGACTCTCTTGGGACCTTCCCTCTCATCCCTCTCTTTCTATCCCAACCTTTCTCTTGCTCCTTTAATTTCCTTGTGAGATTCTTGAACTTTGATTGAACTTTTGAGATTGAGTTAAGTTCTCCTCCTACAGCTTACCCCCAATGCGTCGAAAGATATAGCGTCGAGAATACTCAATCAATCTATGTGATTCAAATTGGGAACGGTAGCTAAGATTGCAAGCTACAACATATCCGAGTTTCGCGACATTCCAACAGCTAGTTTTTCGTCGACGTTGTTTCTTGTGAAGACAACTTTTCTGTCCATAATTTCGGATTTATATTTTGAGTAATTCTAGCTCCTAAGTTCATCTAGACTCCGTCCTTAATCCTAAAAAGTGGTATTAGAGCTGTATTGAGGACATTGATAGGAGTCTACAGAAGTGTGAAGACCCTTCTAGACCCACCATGGCCTGTGGGTGTGCCTAAGTGGTGTTCTAAAGGTTGGATGTGACTTCTGCTAAGGGGAAACTCTGCCGAAATTTCGTGGACGCTGGCACTTGTGAAAATATCGAGGGAGCTGAGTGTGGACAGGAAAGGGGAGCTGAAATTCTTCATTTCTCAAGGAGAAGATGAATGAGAGAGGAAGAGATGCTAATGGAAGAGGAGCTGTACCTGAGAAGACAAGTGAGCCGTCACTATCAAAAGTTGAAGCTTTGGATGGCTCCAACTTTGAGGAATGGAGTGGGCGCATGAGGAGTGCCTTCAAACGCTACAAGCCACTGAAGATTGCTGTTGGGGAGGAGAAGATGCCGGAGGAAGGCGAAGAATGCGAATGGTGGATTGAGAAAAGCACGGTGCTTTTCGACCTCATCCTTCAATCGGTCAACAAGGAGATGTTCGAGCACATCAAGGATCTTGTGGAAGCGGATGATTCGGGTCCAAGGACGTGGAAACTACTACGCGATGTGATTCAGCCCAACACTCTCCCGATGGTGATCGTGCTCGAGAAGGAACTTGCTGCCATCTCCATGCGACCAGGGGACGATGTGAAGCCGGTCCTTGACAAGATCAAGGACACCTATGCAAGGATGGCAGCAGCGGGTAGCAGCGTTCCTCAGCTGCAGCAGTGCACCAAGATCATCTCGGTGTTGGACAACTCTTGGGACAACCTCATCCCCACCCTCAACTCTCAGCAAGATCAATGGACACCTGAGTGGCTAAAGCAGCAGATCCTGCAGGAGGACTTCCGCAGACGCCATGTGGGAGGCGGTGCTTCCATTAAGACTGCTGAGGGGTATGGAGCTGCAAGGCGCGGCAGAGGAAGAGGAGGTTGGAGAGGCCGAGGCCGTGGGAGGAGCTTTGGTAGAGGTAGAGGCCGAGGTGACTATAATGAGGGGCATGGGAGCTCTGGTGGCAGGGGGAGTACCAGAATGGAGGGCACCTGCTGGTACTGCAAGAAGGTCGGGCATCCTTGGTTCAAGTGCTTCAGTAGGCCGGAGGGATGGGCACCTCCAGGCATGAAGCCGCCCAGTGGTGAACGCGCACAAGGTGGCGCTGTGCAAGGCTCAGGTGCACAAGGTAAAGGTGCACAAGGTAATGCCTATCCTGGGATGTTTCTCATGGTTGAGGATGTGCATGGGCATGAGGGTGATGTGGGATCTGTGGGAAAGGTTGTGATGCACCCTCTCACGCACTAGGTGATTGATTCAGGTTGCACCAGTCACATGACCCACGGGCAGATTTGCTTGATCAGGTAAAACCCCCTGGGAAGATTAAGTATGTGGCAGCAGCGTCAGGTGCTTTGCTCCCTGTGATTGGTGTTGGGAATGCCAAGATTAAGGGAGCCAATGGGGAATTTGTGGGGCTTGGGAATGTTCTCCTGGTTGAAGGTCTGTCTGCTAACCTTCTCTCTGTGCGGCGGCTGCAGAAGAGTAAGGCCGAAGTGACATTTGGACCAACCAGCTGCCGTGCTAAGCTTGGGAAGAAGGTGCTGTGGAGTCTGGAAGAGGAGACCAGCTGCATCAAGGACCTATGGGAGCTGCCCATCATCCCTTGGAATGGGAAGACTCCAACAACAGCAACGGCAGCAGTGGCAAAGGCAACAGCAGGAGGAGATGCAACTGCACCAACTGATGGGGACCTGGAAGCAGTCAAGAAAGTGCAGCAGCAGCAGACACATGGTGAGGTGCTTGCTGGTGTGGATGCGAGTGCGGCATGGGCTATGGCTTCATCAAGGAGTGGTGAGGCCGATTGGGAGACATGGCATGAGAGGCTGTGTCATGTGAACTTCCCCATGCTGCAGAAGTTGGTGAAGGATGGGAGCCTGAAAGGATTGGAGGTGAAAGGGGGAGTGAAGGAGATTGGGAGCTGCCCTACATGCTTAGAGACCAAGTTCTCCAAGTTCCCCTTCAACAGCACTACAGGACCAACCAGGACCCCACTTGCACTTGTGCACATGGATGTGGTGGGGCCCACAAGAGCCCCTTCCCTCTCAGGCAGCCGCTATTTCTTGACAATTGTGGATGATCACACTCGAGCAGTGTGGGTTTACCCTTTGAAGAGCAAGGGGGAGGTGGCAGCGGCTGTCCTTAAGGAGTGGATGCCGAGAGCTCAGAGGGAATGCGGACACAAGGTGAAGGTGATCCGTAGTGATAATGGTGGGGAGTTCATTGGAGCTAATTTTGAGGGGGCGTTGAAGAGGAAGGGGATCCAACATCAACTGACAGTGCCCTACAACCCGCAACAGAATGGCGTGGCTGAGAGGTTCAACAGGACCCTGCAGGAGGGGGCACGCACTCTCCTTGGGCGTGCAGGGCTGCCTGATTCGTTTTGGGTGTCTGTACTGAGGAAGGTCACCCTTGTGAAGAACAGGGTGCTGGCTACACTTGGGGATAAGGAGTGGATCCCATATACCATGTGGTATGGGACTGCTCCAGCTGTGAACATGCTGAGGGCATTTGGGTGCATGGTGGTATTTTATGTGCCTAAGGAGAAAAGGGGGAAGTTGGAGGCTTCTGGAAGATGGGGTGTGCACTTGGGGATTGCAAAGGATCACAAAGGGTGGTTGCTATGGGACTTGACCACCCAAAAGTTGACAGTGTCAAGGGATGTGAAGTTTCTTGAGTCCCTGTACTACAAGGAATGGAAGCAGCAGCAACAGAAGCTTCCATCTACACCGCTCATTGTGGAGGCAGATGAGGTGCAGCGGCCTTCAAGACAGGTGGAGGTTGCTGTGTCTGAGGAGGAGATGTCTGGGGTGACTGAGGATGGGGGAGCAGCTGAGGTGGAGCAGCAACAGCAGCAGCATGAGTCTCCACGTCGAGTTCCACACCCGCCTGAGCGACCTAGGAGGGATGTGCGCCCTCCGGTGAGGCTGACCTATGGGAGAAGAGGCAAGCCGAATGTGGTGCAGGCTGGGAGTGTGGTTGAGAAGATTGAGGAAGATGAGATCGCTCACTGCCACTGGGCACCAATCCCTGAGCCCAAGACTCGAGAAGAGGCCTTGAATGGACCCAATGGGGAGAAGTGGAATGCGAGTGAGGATGAGGAGTTTGGGTCCCTGATTGAGAACGAGACATGGGACCTGTGTGACTTGCCTCCTGGGAAGAAGGCAATCACTTCCAAGATGATCTACAGGCACAAGTATGGACCTGAAAGGGAGTTGACCCGCTACAAGTCTAGGCTTGTGGCACGGGGGTTTCAGCAGAAAAAGGGGAAGGACTATGATGAGGTGTTTGCTCCTGTGGGGAAAGGAACAACACTGAAGGTGCTGTTGGCGATAGCTGCACTCCTGGGATGGAAGATATGGCAGATGGACATTGTGACTGCCTTTCTGAATGGGATCATTCTGGAGGAGGTGTACATGAAGCAGCCAGAGGGGCTGGATGATGGGAGCGGCAGGGTCTGCTGGCTGAAGAAGGCCATCTATGGCCTTAAGCAGGCGCCTCGTGCATGGTATCACAAGTTGGAGGAGGCGCTGCTGGCTGGGGGTTTCAAGAAGAGTGAGTGTGACCCCAGCCTGTTCCTGTCGCAGGAGAAGGACGAAATCCTCATGCTCTTGGTGTATGTGGATGATATCCTTCTCTTTTCTGCATCAACTGCTTTGCTGGACAGCGCAGAGCAGATGCTGGAGATGCAGTTCAAGTGCTCCAAGATGAGTGAGGTGAAGTACTACCTGGGGATGCATGTGGAGAGAGATGTGGAGAAGGGTGTGGTGAGGTTGCACCAGAGGAAGTACTGTGAGAGGCTGGCTGAGAAGTATGGGCTGCAAGATGGGGGAAAGCCAGCAACACCACTACCTTCGGGGTTTAGTGTGGAGCTATGTGCTGATGAGGAGGTAGTGGGTGAGAGTGACAGGAAGCTGTTTCATTCGATGGTTGGGTCGCTGAACTATCCTGCAAATCATACACGGCCTGACATTGCATTTGCTACATCACGGTTGGCTAGTGTGGTCTCGCGCCCTAGTCATGAGCAGCTGGAAGCGGCCAAGAGGTTGTCCTCTATGTGAGTGCTACGGCATCAGTGGGATTGGAGTACAGTGGAGTGAGGCAGCGGTTGCAGAGAGGTGCTACAGATGTGAAGAGTGGTGAGATGCTCTTGAGTTGCTATACTGACGCTAGCTTCAACTCGGTGAAAGCGGATGGCACCAGCATTGGGGGATATGTGTGCTTGTTGGGAGGTGGTGCAGTGAGCTGGCGCAGCAAGAAGCAGAAAGAGGTGGGATTGTCCTCATATGAGACTGAGTACGTGGCCTTACACCATGGGGCCAAGGAAGTGGTATGGCTGATGCGTTTGTTGAAGGAGTTGGGAGTTGGTCAGGAGGAGCCGACAGTTGTGTTTTGTGACAATGAGTCTGCTGTGAAGCTCGCCAAGAATGCTTGTCTGCATGGGCTGACAAAACACATAAGGCCTAAGTGGCACTGGGTGAGGAGACTCCTTGATAAGGAGGTGCGGCTGGAGATCGTGAAAACCCATCAGCAGGCAGCAGATATTTTAGCTAAGCGTTTGGCGGAGGCAAATCATTGGAAGGGCATGAAGCTTGCTAGGATGAGTGTGCATTGATTATGCATGCTTGAGATGTTGGTATGGTGGATGATGGTTGGCAGCCAGAGGAGGAGATTGTTGTGTCATGTCATCATATGCTATCACATTCTGTCTGCCTCCCATCCCATGTTTTCAACTTGCATGTGTGGTTTGAATGTGTGCAAGCATTTATGCATGGTGTGTTCTGGAGTTTGGGAATGTGTTTTTTGTTATTCTGTCTGAGCAGGTATTTGTGATGATAGATCTTGAGAAGATCTTTTCGACGCAACAAGAATCGCTTCAATCGAAGCAAGAATGAGAAAGCTATGAAGATTCAAAGTTCATGAGCTTGCGTTACAATTGCGGCGGTTACAAAGTGAAGTTGTGGGGTGACTTTATATGGAGTTGGGACCTTTGGGGTTTGAGAAATTTGTCACTCTACTGTAACAGCTGCAAATTGGTTGGGAACAACCAAGCTAGGTTGGCAAGGGTGGCCAACTTGGATGGATTGGTTGGGAAGGGACAAATGTCAAAGTTGGGGTTCCTATAGGGAGGGAATCTTTGTGATTATGGGTTTTCCTTGGTTGGGGACTCTCTTGGGACCTTCCCTTTCATTCCTCTCTTTATATCCCAACCTTTCTCTTGCTCCTTTAATTTCCTTGTGAGATTCTTGAACTTTGATTGAACTTTTGAGATTGAGTTAAGTTCTCCTCCTACAACTTACCCCCAATGCGTCGAAAGACATAGCGTCGCGAGTACTCCATCAATCTATGTGATTCAAATTGGGAACGGTAGCTAAGACTGCAAGCTACAACATATTCGAGATTCGCGACATTCCAACGACTAGTTTTTTGTCGACGTCGTTTCTTGTGAAGACGACTTTTCTGTCCAGAATTTCGAATTTCGAATTTTGAGTAATTCTAGCTCCTAAGTTCATCTAGACTCCGTCCTTAATCCTAACAGAATAGTGGTGGTTCGGCTGCTGACGAGGACTGCTGGATAACTGTAGAAGGTCCTGTTGGTGCGCTGTCGGGCGGATAGTCTTCGGCTGCATCGGCTTCGTCTTGAGGTGTTGCGAAACTGTGTTCGGCACTGTAGCGATCAGGATCCTGCTGTTGGCGTTCCTTGTCGCTTTCGAAGTCATCGAGAAAAGGTTTCTCGTAGAAGATGCAGTCTCGGGCATACAAAACATTTCAGGTTTTGTAATCCATAATTATCCAGGAGTAGGAATCTTTAGGTACACCGAGGTGTATTCCCCATCGAGCCTGTTTAGTAAATCTGCCCACAGCTGCGCTCGGAGGTCTGTATTGGACCATGCAGCCCCAAACTCGTAACAGTCGAGTATCGGCGGGGTGTTTTGTCTACATGACGTGTGGCGAGCTGAACTGAGGGAGAGCAGTTGAAGACGGGAAGTTGTGTAGGCGGACAGCTTGCACCATCGCAAACGGCCAGAAATCCGTTATCAAGTTGGACTGTAGCAGCAGCACGCGCATCTTCTCTTGCAGCGTCTTGTTAATTCTCTTTGCTACTCCATTCTGTTGATGGGCATAAGGCACAGTCTTGCGCCTGCGTATCCCTTTCCACGCCAGGAATTCATCAAACTGCTCGCTAGTGTACTCGCCCGCGTATTCTGTCTGGATCTCTTTCAGCTTCATGCCGCTCTGCCGCTCCGCGATTTTCAGCCATAGCTTGAAGGCGCCGAGAGCTTCAGACTTGTGAGAGATGTTCTTGTGCCAGACATATTGAGTAGCACCGTCGATGAAGGTAATTATATAGCGGTAGTCATTGCCGCTAATATCTTCTGCTTCCTGTGGCATGAAGAGTATGTCGCTGAAAACGACATCCATTGGTGAGTACTTTGTAGCACCTGGAAAGTGCGACGGGAACGGAGCGTGACTCAGGCGAGCTCCGGGGCAGATGGTGCACAGTAGTTGACGATTGTTAGGTCGAAGCTCTTGGTCGTTGGTTAGAATGAGAGCATCCTTGTCAAAAACCGAGGCTTTAATTGAATTGTTGAGAGCTTCTTGTAAGGGATGACCTAACCGCTTGTGCCAGATTTCTGCTGTAGTTCTGTGTCCCTTTGAGTCAGAGTGAAGGAAGAAGTCCGGCGAAAGATGAATTGTTGGCGAAGAGTGAACGCAGCGGCCGGTGCCGAAAGGCTGGATGAACCCGGCTTCTTCTGCAGTTTCAACCCAAGGTATGCCGAGATGTCGGCGACGCGCCCAAGCATCATGTACGATTAATTATTTTTTGCCCCATGTGCGTTCAACCTCCATAGGTTCTTTGACTGTAGCAGATGTCGGTTCTTGATTGTCGAAACCCTAATTTCCATCTCCAGATGCCCATGTACTTTGAACTATGTCTGTTGCTGCTGATGTTGCTTCTGTTGGCTCTGCTGCAGGTTCGTCGAGGGAGTTGGTGCGAGAAGGCTGAGGCGTGATGCAGAAGACATTGAGACCACGATGGTCTTGGCGTTGATGACCTGTTTCCCAGTGGTGATTCCAAGGAGTAAGTGAGACGTTTTTCTCACAGTCGCTAGATGCCTTGACAGGTGAAATCTGTATAACAAAAACGTCGTCTTAAATTTTTGTGATGCCGACTAAATTACTTTTGTCTGCCTTCTTGTCGCCCTGGTACAACTCCGTGAGCATCGTGTTGGCGGTGCTGACGAAGTAGATGCCACTTTCCATCAGCTGCGCTTGTGATAGCAGGTTGAAGCCAAGTCCCGTAGCAACGAGAACCTTGTTCAAGTGAAGTGAAACTTCTGTGTCGTCTGACTCGAGTATCACATCTCCGATTCTGGTTGCTTCAATAACCTGATTATTAGCAACTTATATGTTGTACTTCTCTCTGTTTGGTAGATCTCGCCAGTTGAGAAGATATTGGCTTGAAGATGCCATGTGGTGACCGCAGCAGCTATCAAGAAACCAAGCGTTAACATGCTTAGCGATATGGGCGTATGGCTGCACGTTCAATCGTCGAGGAAACCCGTTCGGCTGCTCTGATTCTTCTTCGTTAACGACTGCTGGTTCTGGAGTTTCTGAACGAGGATGAAGACGTGGAGGTCGGTTGGCTGGTCCTTCCTCCATGTCACTGTCACTGTCATCGTCTCGTCTGCTCCAATAGCGTATACCACTAGACCAGTGTGGTCCAATCATGCAATTAATAATTGCCTTTCCTTTTGCAGAAGCTGAAGGCGGTGAGATAGTCTTGACAGGGGCGGCTTCACCCGACTTCTGCTAATTCCTGTTCTTCAGTTTCCGACACTCTTCAATATTATGACCTGCTCGTTTGCAAAACTTGCAGAAGCCCTTGCCTCCTTTTCTTGTCTGCTCCCATTGATTTGATGCACCTCTTGTCTGCTCCTCTTGACTTTATCCACCAATGTAGAAGCTTAACCCACTCCTGGTTTTGCCTCCTTTTGCGTTGTACAGGTCCAAGTCCTGCTGCTCTGCCATCAGAGTAGCGCAAAGAGAAGTTAGTAAGATGTTCCCTTGGGAACGAAGAAGGGACTTGCACTGCCTCCATTCGGGTCCAAGTCCAGCCAGAAGGATAGTGACGAAGCGCTCATTAATGAGATTTTCTTCGCACTTGTTGAGTTGATCTCGAAGGGTTCTGCACCTGTTGATGTAGCTGCCGGCTTTTTCTCCCGAAAGCATTTGCATTGCTGTAATTTGACTTAACAGGTTGCTCTGTGTGACGAAATCTTGTGCTTGATATAACTTGCGCAGGTAATCCCAAGCATAATAGGCTGGAGCAAGTGGTTGAAGCACCAAACTCCCAACTGCTCTTCAGGTTAGAGATTCTGCACCAGTAATGTATAGGCCATAAGAGAATACTTGTAATAACGTGCTTGTTCTTCGGTTGATCCTGTCTCTGGAGAGCAGATTGTACTGTCGAAATATCCCCAGATACCAGAAGATTGCGCAAGGAGTTCGAACTTGAATCCCCAAATATAGAAGTCGCGGCCATCAAAGTAAGTTGAGGTCTTCAGCTTGATTTACGACGGCTTCTGCAGCGTATGGTCTTGCTTCTGGCATTTGATGTTGTTGCTGCTGTGGTTGTTGGTGCTGTGATTGAGCAGGTCGCCCATGGAAGGCAAAAGACCCAGCAGATTCATATCCAGGGGCTGAAGGCCCAGCGGCAACAGTAGCTCTTGCATAACTCGAGTTATCAAGGCTCATAGAAGCTGTAGGATGCGCTGGAGCTTGTTGTTGTTGCTAAGTAGACTGATTAGCCATCAAGGAAGCAAAGTCGGATAGATCATCGGTAGAAAGACCAGAAGTAGGAGAATTCGTAGTTGAATTTCTTGTCGTAGCAGCTGACATAATTATAGATATATGACTTAAGCTTAAGGGCGTAATCGAAATCAGCTTGTATCGGATTGTGAAAGCTTGCTTAGGTCCTCTTGTAAAGGCAACGTGCTTCATGTCATCTAGGAAACATACATGGTTCTCATCCTACAAAGAACTACACACACAAGAGGGTGGGTGGGTGAGGCCGAATGGCCTCACATCCCTCTTTTGTAGGCAAAAGAGGGTGAGTAGCGCTTCGACGCTGCCTTTGCTGCGTTGGCCCTCGCTACACTTTCACAATACACATTTTTAGAAAGTGTTACACACTTTTTAAAAAATCATATTGTGAAAGCTTGCTGAGGTCCTCTTGTAAAGGCAGCGTGCTTCATTTCATCTGGGTCTTCTGAGACATGTGCAGAAGGGGTTGGCAGTGGCGTTCAATAGATAGCTGGTGCTGATTGGGCGTGGGGGCGGTGGCTGCGTCTTGGAGTTGCGTGGAGGCTTGAAGAAGTTGGTCCTGCGCGATGGTAACGTAGAGCTCCTTGGCGTTATCGCTGCGCCAATGGCCAAGTCGCTTGAACAGCCGATTGGATATCCCGAGGCTGGCTGCCGCTGTAGCAGCGCCCTTGCGGAAGGAGTGGGTGCCGAGGTGGGCGCTATCGAGGCCGCCCCTAGTGAATGCTTCAAGGCACCAGTTCCGGATGGTGGTGTACAAAGGCACGTGGTCCTGTGGATTTGTCGTGCTGCTGTTCCCGAAGACTCGGATCAATGGCCGTGTGGGGTGGAGGTGTGACCCGCGATGGTCCAGTCATGGGAGAGGGCTCGGTAGTCATGCGATGCGCGAAGGCGACGGCGGAGCATGTAAGCGATATGGCGGATGTGATGGCCTGGTTATTTAGTGCATGAATGAGGTAGATTGCCAAGGTCATATCCGTTGCAGGCAGGTAGCTCATTTTCACCTTCATGCAGAAGGAGCGAAATTTGAGCCAGTTGGGCTCATGTTCGGATGGTGGAAGGGGCACGTACATGGGTGATTACGTGTAGTAGTTGCGTTTTCAGTTTCGATATAATGCCTGAAAAGGTACAGTGTAGAGTACAGTTATTATTGTTTTTTATGCGTGACATGCAGTGCAATCATCTGACTAGGAGGAAAGCCTTGTCCTGCGAAAGCGAGTGCGTGTGTGCCAGGGCGGAGGCATTGGCTGCCGTGGGTGAGGGGAATGTGTGCCTTTATTTCTGGCACCCAGGCGTCAGGTGTCTGTTGGAGGAGTGGCCACCATGATGCTCCCGGCCACTCGGGAATAACCAAGGTCAGCTCAGCGTGTGTGCATTTAGCGTGTCGTAATGTGGCTGGAATAAGGTTGGGAGGAGGAAACGCGAAGCCGCGCTGGTGCTGCCAGCAGAACGAAAATGCGTCGAACACTGCGACCGTAAGGTGTGGAATCTTGAAGCAAAATCTCTTCAGCTGAGCGTTGTGCACATTTGCGAAGAGTTCGATAGAGTGGGGACCCAGGCGGTGATTCCAGAGCCGGAACCATGGGGCTTGGAGGGAGTAGTCATCGTGGTCTTGGATTTTTGAAAGTTTGTCGGCGTGCACATTCAGCTCTCGCGGGATCCATTCGACAGCTAACCTTGTCTGGTGTTCCAGGCAGAGGCGAATGGTTGCTTGACATAGTAGTGTGAGCGTGGGGTGGCGCGATCCACCTTTGCGCAGGATGAATACCACACCTTGATTGTCTACCCGAACGAGCACATGGCGCTTGGGTATGCGGGCGGCGAATGTTTGGAGAGCCAATAAGACTCCTTCGAGAACATGTTGAGTGCTAGAGGTGGGCAGTAGTCCCTCGGGCATGCGAGCACTAGCTTCAATGGGCGTCCCAGGAATTTGCGTCAGGCTGGCACCCCAGCTGTGTGCGCTTGCATCGACATGGATGACGGCGTCGAAGTGGTGAGTGAGATGGAATGGGGTTCCGTTGAACTTGTCGAACTACGCAAGCCAAAAATGCAGCTCCTCCACTGCTGTCGATGACACGTGTGCCTTGGCGTG